CAGGTCACCAGCTGTTCCTTCTTGAGCTCGACTGTTGAGAAAACCTACCTTGGCGCCCTTTCGGGTTTTCACCAAGGTTGCCCCCACCCTTTTTGTTTTCGTTTGTTTTTGTTTTTTTTTCTTTTTTTCCTTTTTTTCCTTTTTTTTTCTTTTCTTCTTTTTTTTTTTCGAGGCGCCCTTTCGGGTTTTCACCTAAAGAACAATGAAATATCTCGACCATGATCGACTCAGAAATATGAGTTAAAGATTGCTGGCATCAGTAAAATGTACTTCCCTTATAAGATTAGGCGAAGACATTACGGACATCACCTGCCAGTTGATTAACAAATTTTCTAATAGAAATGCAGCAAGTGACGAAAGCCAGGACTTTGGGCTTTGTAATGAGGTCCGGTGGGGTGCTTTGAAAAAGGTTGAAGGTTGAAAGCAGATTTGATACGAGGGGTGAAATAACTTGAGATTGCACTATCTGAAAACAACTCCAAAACTGAGGAAAATTTGCCCCAGTTTGATCAGCTTTTTTCTCTTTTTGCATTTTTCATTGCATTTTCCTCACTTTTGCATTTTTCTTTGAAAACTAAATTTGCCCCAGTGTAGGGTTTTTTTTTTTTTTTTTTTATTTTGCCCCAGTGTGGGGTTTGCAATTCTCAAGGGTTATCAAACGAAATTTGTCAATATGATGGCTCAAAGGGGACAAGTAGAGATAAAATGTTTTTAGTGTAAAAGAAGATGGCCTGACTTGCATTTCGCCATTTGCATGAGTTTCTTAAAGAAAATTTGCATTATCAAATGAAAAACTTTTTGCACATATCTGAGTTGATGGGTTGAGGGAATGTCTGTCCATCCATTTCAGCCAAAATAAGAGCTCCGCCAGGTAATACCTTTTGGACAATGAACGGCCCTTGCCAATTTGGAGCAAATTTGCCTTTAGCTTCATCTTGCATTGACAAAATCCGCTTCAGTACCTTATCACCTTCTTCAAATGCCCGCCGATGGACCTTTTTGTTGTAAGCCCGGGCCACACGTTTCTGATAGCACTAACCATGACAGATAGCATTGAATCGCTTTTCATCGATCAAAGTCAATTGCTCATGGCGTTGCTTGATCCAATCGGCCTCCTCCAATTTAGCTTCCATAAGGATTCGTATCGACGGAATTTCAACTTCCACTGGTAACACAGCTTCCATTCCATACATAAGTGAATATGGCGTTGTCCCGGTCGATGTTCGAATAGAAGTCCGGTACGCCATCAATGCATAAGGCAACTTTTCATGCCAATCGCGATGCCTCTCTGTCATTTTGCGGATAATCTTCTTCAAATTCTTATTTGCGGCTTCTACAGCTCCATTCATCTGAGGCCTATAAATGGCAGAATTGCGGTGTTTGATCTTGAACTGCTCGCATAGTCCATCTACCATGTCATTGTTCAGATTCTTGGCATTATCCGTAATAAGGGTTTCGGGTACTCCAAAACGACAGATGATGTGATCTCTCAGGAAATTGGCCACTACCTTCTTCGTGACATGTTTGAATGATTCCGCTTCAACCCATTTAGTGAAGTACTCAATCGCCACCAATATAAATCGATGTCCATTTGAAGCGGGAGGATCGATTGTACCAATTACGTCCATACCCCACATTGAACAGGGCCATGGGGCAGTCATGCTATGCAACTCAGTGGGTGGAGCACGGATAATGTCACCGTGCATTTGACATTTTATACATCTCCGGACAAAGTCTATACAATCATGCTCCATAGTAAGCCAGAAGTATCCGGTTCTCATGATTTTCTTCGCTAGCAAATGGCCATTCATGTGAGGTCCACAAACGCCACTATGCACTTCTTTCATCATATATTGAGCTTCATCTTCATCGACACATCTTAAAAGGTTCAAATCTGAGGTTCTTTTGTACAACACTTCTCCATTTAAGAAAAATTTCGAAGCCATTCTACGCAGAAAACTCTTGTCTTTTGTACTAGCATGCTGAGGGTAGGACCCAGTTTTGAGAAACTCTTTAAGATCATTAAACCAAGGAATAGTATCCGAGGATTCGTCTGCAACCCAGCAGTGGGCGGGCTTGTCTTGAAGTTGAATTTGGATTGGTTCGATCTTCAATTCATCTGGATATTGGATCATAGAAGCTAAGGTGGCCAAAGCATCGGCAAATGCGTTTCGGGCTCGCGGAAGATGTCTGAACTCCAAATTTCGAAATTGCTTGGCCAGAGTGAGCAGACTGCAATGATAGGGCAGGATTTTTGAATCTTTGGTTATCCACTGCTTCAAGGTTTGATGCACGAGCAAATCTGAATCACTGAAAGCTATCAACTCTTTGATTTCCATTTCTAAAGCCATTTTGAGACAAAAAATGCAGGCTTCATATTCAGCCATGTTGTTTGTGCAAGCGATTTGCAATTTGGCAGCGGCAGGGTAATGCTTCCTTTCGGGTGAAACCAGAACAGCTCCAATTCCGGCTCCGAGAGAATTCGAAACTCCATCGAAGAAAAGCCTCCATTCAGGATTTTGCTCACCTATATCATATGTAGCGCCTACGAATAAAACTTTCTCATCAGGGAAATAGGTATGAAGTGGTTGATAATCATCATCCCTTGGATTTTCTGCCAAATGATCAGCTATAGCTTGCCCCTTGACCGCCTTTTGTGAAGTGAAAATAATGTCGAACTCTGATAGAATTATCTGCCATTTGGCCAGGCGTCCGGTTAACATCGGCTTCTCCAAAAGATACTTCAAAGGATCAGATCGGGAAAATAAGATAAGTGGTATGGCTCAACAAATAGTGTCTCAACTTTTGAGCCGCCCAGGCCAATGCACAACAGCTTTTCTCAATGAATGAATAATTAGCCTCGTACTGCGTGAACTTCTTGCTTAGATAGTAAATGGCTTGTTCTTTCCTTCCAGAGTCATCGTGCTGACCTAGAACACACCCTACTGCTCCATCAAGTACAGATAAATACATAATCAAAGGTCGGCCCGGTTTGGGCGGCACTAAGACTGGTGGATGCAACAAATAATCTTTAATCTTGTCGAAAGCCCGTTGGCACTCCTCATTCCAATACAACGGCACGTTCTTTCTCAATAATTTGAACAACGGCTCGCACGTGGCAGTTAATTGGGCAATGAACCTCCCAATAAAATTGATCTTCCCTAAGAAACTTTTCACGTCTTTCTGAGTTTTTGGCTCCGGCATATCTCGAATTGCTTTGATTTTTGCTGGATCTATTTCTATGCCCTTCTTGCTAACAATGAATCCCAACAGCTTACCCGCAGGTGCTCCAAAGGCGCATTTCGCAGGATTTAACTTCAAATTGTACTTCCGCAATCTTTCGAATAACTTCTTCAAATCAACCAAATGGTCCTCTGCCCTCTTAGACTTGATTATGATGTCATCCACGTAGACCTCCATCTCCCGGTGGATCATATCATGAAATAGGGTTGTCATGGTCCTCTGATACGTTGCTCCAGCATTCTTTAAACCGAAAGGCATGACTCGATAGCAAAAGGTACCCCAAGGGGTAATGAAAGCAGTCTTCTCCCTATCCTCTTCTGCCATCAAAATTTGGTGGTAGCCAGCAAAACAATCGCAAAAGGATTCAATCTCATGTCCGGCAGTATTGTCTAAGAGAATGTGAATATTTGGTAGAGGGAAATCATCTTTAGGACTGGCTTTATTAAGGTCTCTATAGTCAATACAAACTCTCACCTCTCCACTCTTTTTTGGAACAGGGACAGGATTTGAAAGCCAAATTGGGTAATGGGAAACAATGATAATGTTGGTTTTGAGTTGTTTTTCAATTTGCTCTTTTATTTTGAGGCTTATATCTGGTTTGAACTTCCTGGGTTTTTGTTTTACGGGTGGAAAAGAAAGGTCTGTGGGTAACCTATGCACCACCACATCAGTTGAAATGCCAGTCATATCATCATAGGACCACGCAAATACATCCTGGAACATGGTCAAGAATTCAAGCATCTCCTTTCTCTGCCTTGCATTCAAATGAATACTGATTTGCACCTCCTTAACCTCATCCTCAGTGCCAATGTTAACCTTTTCTGTTTCTTCCAGGTTCGGTTTTGGTTTTTCCTCATATTGTTCAAGGTCCTTTGCAAAAGAATCGAATACCTCCTCATTATCACTCTCGCTTTGGAGCTCGGATTCACAGACCTCCAAGTCGTGAGTGATATAGAGATTACCATTATCGTATTCCAGAACTGTGATATCCAAAGGGTCAAATAGTTTTATTTTTGGCCATCTGAAAGAATTAACGAATGTGGGATAATAAACAAATTAGCATATAACAAACAAAAGGTCAAGCAATACGACAAAAATATAAACAAATGAATAAACAAAACAACATGACAGGAACAACTTGTGCATTTTCATAAAACCTTTGATTGAAAGCAAATGAAAATGAAAACTTAACAATATTTACATGCGCAAACATTAGTCAAAGAGTAAAATTGTTTTCATTGGCTATTTACAGATGCAAAAGTATTTTCATGAATTCACATGAATGATAAACCCCTTTCAGTTTACCGAAACTCCTTCCGAACGGGCAGGGACTCGGCTGTCCAATTGGGAATTGATCCTTCGGGGATGTCAGGAAATTCAGCTTCGCCTGGAACACTATCTTCAAATGTTGCCCCAACAAACAATTGGGCCAAACTTGCTTCAATTTCGTCAACTGGGTTGATTTCTGACATGATCACCTCGGCTGGTCGTGGGAAAGTATAATGCAGGGGTGGAATGTCAAGAGCCCTTTGCCTTCCTTCTTTCTCCGCTTTCTTGCGCTCCTTCATTTCTCTAATATCCTTAGCAGTTGGTCGGAAACCCAAACCAAACGAATCCTTTTTCTCCACAATCTCCACTGGCTTCAGAATTCCTTGCAAATCTCGTCCCAGCCCTTTATCAAATTCATAGCCTCCACGGATCATTTCTTTGGCCATCATGACACTGGCCTTTGGTAAAGCTCGCTCCTCGTTTGTGATCTAACTTACAGAGACGATATCAGCCGTGCTATGAGGAGTCATGGTGACATTGCGGCTTCCATCCTCTTTTGACCCAGAATCGGTGATTACAAGACAATCCTCCTCGGCAAATATAGTTATCAGCTTGTCATTTACTACAAACTTCAGCAATTGATGCAATGAAGAAGGTACAGCCCCAGACTTGTGAATCCACGGCCTTCCAAGCAAAACGTTGTAAACACTAGGAAAGTGCATGACTTGGCAGGTTATTTGAAATTGTGCGGGTCCCATCTCGACCACTAAATCTAATTCTCCTATTGGCTCTCTTTGCGCTCCATCAAAACCTCGGACTATGGTCCCTGAAGGCCTCAGCTTGACATCTTGCAGTCCTAGCTTTTCCAAGGTGCTCCAGGGACATATATTAAGAGCGGATCCATTATCAATCAATACCTTCGGCAGCATTTTTCCGTTGCACCTCACAACTATGTACAGGGCCTTGTTATGTCCAATGCCTTCCGCCGGCAATTCCTCGTCAGAGAAAGTGATTTGTTTGGTGAATAATACGTTCCCAACCACGTGTGAGAAATTATCAACTGAAATGTCTCTAGGAATTTGAGCTTTAGTCAGTACTTCGAGCAATGCATCCCTATGCACATCTGATGAAAAAAGTAGATCCAACATGGATATTTGAGCGGGCGACTTGCTAAGCTTCTCGATCACATTGTATTCGCTTCTTTGGAGCCTTTTAAGGAAATCTAAGGCTTCTCTTTCGGTAATTGTTGGTTTGGCGGGTGGCTCAGAGTTATTTGCTTGAATCGGAATGGTTGCTTCAAACGGGCTTGCAATTTTCCCCGATCTTGTGACCACTGATACTTCCTTCTTTGCAATTGACTTTTCCCCAATCTGTATGACAGGTTCATCATAGTTCCACGGTACTTGTTGCAGGCTCAAGACAGGCTCCTGCTTCGGAAATTCAATGACTATTGGCTCCAAAGCCGCACTCTCAGCTGGCGTGAGATCCAAAATAAAGGGCTTTTCGTCCTCTTCCAATGGCAGTTCTATGACAAAGGGTTGGTCTGTGACCCCAAACACTTCAGCTTCCCTTGCCAATTCTCTGACTGGTTCCACATACTCCGTATCATCCAGAATAACCCCAATAATATTGGCATGTTCCGGTAAAGGGTTCCTATTTACGTTCGGCCCTTGCGCCTCCCTTTTCCGGATTACAATCTCCCCGGCTTCCACCATATCTTGGATTTTATGCTTAAGCGCCTTGCAATTAATAGTCGAATGTCCGGTGGCCCCAGAATGATAAGCACATACAGCTTGTGGATTATACCACGCGGGCATGCCATATGGGTAGGTAGGAGGGGGTACTGTACCGATTTTCCCGGCGGCCTTCAATTGTTCATACAATTGATCCAGAGGCCTGCCTAGGTTGGTAAATGTACGACTAGGGGGTCGGTTGTAAGGTTCAGGAGGTGGAGAATGATTGTAAACAGGTCTATTTGGTGGAGGAAATCTTGGATTATATGGAAGGCGAGGTCGATTTTGGGGTGGATTTGGTTGGGAAATTTGAAAAGGGGCTGAATGTGGGTTTGAATAGCTTGGGCGAGGTCGAGGGTGGTGGATATTGGTAGTATATACAGGGTGCGGATTTGAGTAGTAAGGGTAATGGGGTTGGTAGATTAGACTGTGTTGGTATCGGGGTCTGGGTGAAGGGTTTTGGTTCCAAATAAAGGTTGCATCCCCCTCTTTCTTTTTGAACGGCGGCTTTTTCACATTGCTTCCTTGACCTTGTAAAGCATCCAACTGGGATTTGAGAGTAGAGACATTAACAATTTTTTCGGCTCTCACAAAGTCGTCAAACTCTTCCAATTTATTCACAATTGCAGCAAAAGAACAACCAGTCATACGGAAAATTTCTTCGAAATATGGAGGATCATGCGCCTTTATGAATGTGCGAATAATTTCATCCTCAGTCATCGGTGGCTCCACCTTCGCAGCTATCTTTCTCCATCTCTTGGCATATGTCTTATGATCTTCAGATGGTCGCCTTTTCGTTCCTTCCAGAGTAGTCCGGGTTGGCGCTAGCTCACAGTTATACTCATATTGTCTAATGAAAGCATTGGACAGATCGAGCCAGGTCTTCACTTCCTCTGGCTTTAGGTTGGAATACCAATCGAGAGCATCCCCTTCTAAGCTTTCTGGAAATAATCTCAACGGCAAATTCTCGTCATCCACTGGCTTGCCCAACTTGTTAGCAAACAAGCGCAGGTGCGTTTTAGGGTTGCTTGTTCCATCATATTTGTTGAATTTAGGGGTCTTGAACCCCACCGGCAGTTGCACGTTCGGAAACAGGCACAAATCATCATAATCCAACACCCCTTGTTTGCTTAAACCTTGGCTTTTCCGGATGAATTCATCAAAATGATCCAAGCGTTTAAGTAGCTTCATATCAATCTGGGCAGACGACTCTCCCATTTCTGGCTTATTTTGAAAAGTGTTCTCCGGTACCACAGGCTCTGCGGTATTCTGGTAAAAGGTTTGTGGGTTCGGATGCATGTTTGGGTCGATTTGAGGCTGAAACCCTTGCCCATAAGGAGGATAGAACGGAGGATTTTGAGTATAAGCATATTGCGGGTTGACAATTCCCTCAAACGTGGTTTGCATTGAAGGAATAACAAATGGTAACGTGGTCTGGCTGAGAGGAATAACAAATGGTTCAGATTGTGGTTGTGTGGCGGGCACAGGCTCAGGTTGCACTCCGCTACTAACGAGTTCGTCGATTAACCTCTTTTGAGCGGCCATTTCGGATGCCATTTCCCCAAATTTTGTGAGTAATTCAGTCAACTGAACCCCAGGACTTGCGGCCTCCGGCTGGGTAGTTGCAACGGCCTTATCGGACGATTCTGGCTGAGTGCTCATGTCTACACGATTCCTTTGGGCCTTACTTCGGGATCGCGTAATAATGGGGCTTTTCCGAAAAGCTATTTTGAAATTTACCTGAGAATGCAAAAGACTTCTTTAGATAAACCAATGATTACTGAATTTCTGTAATTTATTCAGAAGAGAAAAAGAAAAAGAAAAAGACATGAGTTAGTAGCTATTCGAACAATTCGGATGCATGTCCTAGTTGGGGAACCCTTTTTGTGCCAAGGGTAGGCCTAGCATGATGCAACACCTTCGGAATGAGACCCATTAATCAAACCTGTTATTTGACAAACACTTTGTGAAGAGGGAAGAGATTCATTTCATTGCAGAAACCAGATACATCTGTTTACATCATATCGCGAAGGCGATTTCGTACAAGATCACCAAAGTTCCTAAGCCTATCTAGTACAGAGTCTTTACTTTCTCTAGCATATGGCATCTTGACACGTTCGGCTTGATCATATAATTCCCCACATTTCCGCTTCATCTCTTGGCGCCTTTCTCGCTCCTTCTCATATAACCTCTTGTTTTCTTCTGCCTTTCCTTTGTGCGTTTCGATGGATTTCTTCAACTGTACCACCTCCATGTCCTTGGCTTTAATGATGGCTCTCAGCTTCTCAATTTCCTCATACGGCTCATGTTGCAACCCTCGCGTGGCAGAATCTTTCAACCAATCCTCGTATGGTACGGTCATTACCCCCTTCTATTTGAGCTCCGGAAGATAACGAATGCTTCTATCGTCGGATATTGTTCTCCAAGATTCAATGATTTGGCTCTTCATAGGGATCTCTTTTGGGCATACCCCCTGATCAAAGAAAATGGCGACTTCACTAAACTCGGAAATCGGTGGCGGCCCCTGAATGCGACCTAGTTGTCTGAGAAATCTCTTCGGGGTATATGAGATGATTCCTTGAGTACCCAGCAAGAGAACACGTTCAGATTCCTTAGTGCGAAGTATCGGCTCAAAGCAGTCTGTCCAATCTAATACTCACCTAATGTTGAAATCTTGCAATGTTTCCAAGTAGTCCACACATTCGGATGCGTTCTTAGGTAGATCTCCCTCGTTGACTCTTTTGGGATGTGTGACTACCCAATTATATCCAACCACCAGCAAACTATCGGCAACTGATGCTTGTCTCTTAAAATGTCCCGTAGCCCATATGTATAAAACCAAGTTCGCCCCATGGAAAAACTTTTCTCCCTTTCGACAACCAGTACAAGCTAAGAAAATATCTGCGAGAATGGTCGGGACTATAGAACATTGCTTACCCTGAATTCCTAAGAAAAGGTCATTCACAATTTTTGCTGATTTAAAGGCTATCTTTTGATCTTTTCGCGGAAAGAGATAGGTCCCAGCCATAACTACCCCATATACTAGTAGCCTTTTGCGCTCCCATACGGCTTTGGAAGTGAACACAAAATCCGTCACATGCCTCTCGAATCCATCGCGTGGCGCAAATCGTTCAAACAGAATATTCACGGCGACGCCCTGATCTGACCCTCGTAGCACGGACTCTTTCAATCCTATAATTTGACAAAATTCGGCCTTGTCGGAAGCAAATGGAAACACCAAGGCAGTTCCTCGTGTGGGTAAACCAAGGAGGCCAGCTACTTCTTCGAGTGTTATAGTCATTTGCCTATTGCCTATTCTAAAAGCAGTACACTCGGGGTCCCAAAGATGAACTAAAGCCTCTACCAAATAATTGTTGGATTTGATCTGCTTAAAGTCTCCAATTGGTCCTAAAAATTGGGCTACTTGATTCAGTTCACTAGGTAACATGAAGGTGGGCCATTGTTGAACCTCAGTTGACGGTATTAACAATTGGTAGATGCGGCGAGGGCAAGCCATCTGATAATGAAGAAGGTAGTTTGTCAATTACCTTACCTACGAGTCTCATTCCTCCAGTTATGCGATAATTTAAACGTGCAGTCCCTTGAAGGGTTAAATACCCATGGGACACAAAAGGGTTGGTTTTATTCCTAAAACGGGATTCCCTACGTGGCGTTCCCTTTCTAGGGTTTATGCATGATGCCATTTTATTAAAACAATAAAATATGCAATTTGAAATGAAACGTGACCTAAGGAACCCTTTATTTGCCAGGGTAGGCCTAAAATGGTATGGCATTATGAATTTATGAACAAAATAAACCATAATTTGTCAAACGTGCAATAGCCTATCTACAAGGGTAGGTCCTAAAAGAAGGTCATGCCAGACCTCTTATTTCTTAATGTTTGTGAATGCCAAAGACAAAAGACAAGGAAACGTGAGCTCAACACATAATCACAAAACACATTTGGACAAATAGATAATATAAAAGGCAATAAAGATAAATAAGGAAAGAGGGTTGGGACCCCTCCCCTCGTGAATAGTGTCCCTAGTTCAGGATAAGGCTGACTCTACCCTAGGCAATTCTAATATGGATGCATGAGGCTTGGCTTACTAATGCATCTAGACTCGATAGGTCATAGGCCCCCGAGCCTTCAGACTTAGAAACCAAGGGTCATCAATCCCAAGGTTCTTCGTCGGTGGCTCGAGCGATTCCCCAAACACCGCTACGCACACATCGTGTCACGGCTACGTGTTTGAGTGAATCTATCAAAACCTCAATCTTCGACCAAAAGCTAAAGGCTATCAACCAATAGCTTTAAGCGGAAGATTGAGTGACCCATTGGAACATGCTACACACACATCGTGTCGTGATCACATGTCCAAGTGAGTCACCTAATCCTAATAGGGTGGAGTGGCGTGACAAGCCACTAAAGAAAAATAAAAGGGATAAAAGAAGTAAAGCGTATGCTCGTATGCTAGTGCTCGTTTGGAGGGGAAGGGTCAAGAACCAACGCGAGACTCTAGGGTGACCCATACCTCCCAAAAATGCAATGCAAGCGCGAGATAAAAAGTAAACATTCATTCAAACATACATTCGTGAGTCGAGGGATTGGTTTGATTACGTATATAAGACAAAAGGTCCTAAAAATGAAAAATGCATTCCTAATATCCACATGCCATGCATAGAAAGGGTAGAAAAAGGAAACAAATGGTTAAGTCAAAAATGCTTGGACCCACTTAGGAAGTCCCCAGTGGAGTCGCCAACTGTCGCGCCCCATTTTTTGATAAATAAATAAAATGGTTTAAAAAATGTATTTTGATTCAATTGTGATTGGAAAATGATTTTTGTGAGTTGAAAAGACATGGGTCTCAATGGGACTTAGAAAGCGACGATTTGACCAAAAACATAGTTTTTTAAAAAGGGTTTGAAAAGAAAAGTTTGGAGTCGCCACTTGGTAATGATTTAAGGTGTACCAAGTCACCTAAAAATGAGATTTAAAGTCAAGTAGTAATAAACCCTTTTTAAAACGACTCCTAGTCCACGTAAGCCAAAGAAAAAGGTTCGGGAGTCACGTTTGACAAAGGGGAAGGCAAGGATAGAATCCAAGGCACCCCTTTGACCTAGCCAAGGCTAGTTGCGCGACTTAACCTTACCTTTCCTAATTTTCTACCCAATGTATGTATCGCACGTTGGATATGACTATATGAATGCAAAACGGAAAGGAAAATGCAATCCTAAATTCTACGATGTCTCTTGTGAGGCTTTTGGTCCCAAACCACATGAATTGTGGCGGCCAACAAAGGAAAACCTCATAGAGGTCGATTAATGCAAATGAGAGTTCAAATTCAAGTGTGCAAGTGTGAAAGTGTATGAAAGATGCAAGAAATGTAAGTGCAAGTGTGCGAATGTATAAAAAGGTGCATGTGTGAAATTGTATAAAATTCAAGTGTTTTTTGTGTGCAAGTGTGTGAAAATAGAATAATAGATATATAAGGTAAAGTGGAATTTCATTTGTGAAGTGAAAATAAGCAAGTGATAGGTAAAATGTAGTAAAAAGTATGGTTTGAGAAATGTGCAAAATTGTGGTTAAAAGTGTATGGATGTGATAAAAATGAAAGTATGACCCTAGGGGAATGCAACAAGTCGGGTACGGGGGTTGACTCCTAACTTTTCGACTTCTATTTTCCCTTTGATTAGAAGGCAAAACTAGCGTGCTAAGGCTATCGAGTAGCCACACTCGCTCGTTTTCCTTATCGGAAGGGGACACTCAAGCAAAATGAACCCTATAGCTAGCATGAGATGCAAAACCTAAAGTGAGGGGAAAAGGGGTTCGAGGCTCATGCCAAATGATAAAACTAAGGAAAATGCGTGATATGTGGTGAACAAGCAAATGATGTACTAACAAGGGAAAAACCCTAAGGGTCTAGCGTTGGACTAGCCCATTCTATGAATTCCGACTAGCGTTGGACTAGTGGAAACGATAAAAGAAGCCACAACTAGCGTTGGACTAGTGTGGTGACGTACATTCATCCATTCCATTCATCCACACTATAAAAAGCGAGTAGACATGCGAATCACTTATAAACACGTAGCACATAACACTTAGCATGCTTGACTAGATGCAAGGACCTAATAAAGCGATTAAACACTTAACACGTAGGCATGCAACCAAACTAATGAACCTATTACATTCACTAACTAAAACAAAAGGGGAAAGG